AGAATAAGACGTTGATTGATCTGGTCGCGACGGAACGCACCCACGTTGGTGGCGTTGATGTGGGAGTGGAGGTCGACATCGCTTGAAGCGGTGCGTGGTCGAGCAGGGGTAGAGTTCAGGGGATCGGCGTCCCACTGGTTGTCCTCGTCTTCATCGGCAGAGGACCGGCCCTCATCGAACTCGATGAAGTCGCTGATGTTGAGGGACTTTTCGACCTCGTCATCTTCCTCCTCATCGAAGCCAATATCCGAGCTCTCATCGGCGGTATTGGGTTCGGACTGGAAGGGGAAGAAGGCCTCGGTAGGTCCCATGGCCTGAGTGTTGAGGTAGTCACCAAAGGTATTGGATGAGAACATTGCACTCATCATAATCTGTGCAGAGCTGCTCATCATGGGAGAGGGTTGGTTCTCATCAATGGGGGCCAGATATTGGAAGTTAAACTGTTCGGGTGACAGATCAAGTTGACGGCGACGATGGGGAGTAAAGATCATCATCTTTCGTGAGATGGGGTTCACAACAGCAATGGGCTTCCGCTCAGAGTTGTCGAGGTTGAAGCGGCCGACACGCGGCTGCCCACGGTGGCCCTTGACCGGATGATCCGTGTCGGAATCATCCCACTGATCCGGGGAGGGTTCGGGACGCTTAATCTTGCGGCGGACAACTGGCTCCGGCTCATCTTCTTCAGTGGTATCACCATCAGCTAGTTGGGCGAGTTAGCAATCACATTTTCTCATGATGTTCGTCACGAAGTGCAAACTCACTCTCATAGCCGTCTAGCTCTTGGGTTTCCTCAAGCGCTGCGACCGGAGTGGGCATCTCAGAGAGTTCGCCGGTGGTCATGGGAGTAGCAATTGGCGTATCATCATCGCCGAGTTCCTGCACAACAGCCTCAACATCTGAGTCTGCGTCAGGGGCATACCCATAGGCTCCATGATAATCGCCATGGTAATCCCAGAATGAATTCGAGTTTTCAGACTCGTCGTTTTCATCATCTTTTTCAATCTCGCGACGGAAGGCCGGATCGAGAGAGCTCTGATCGACAAAGATGTCGGGGAAGAAATCGGCATGATCATCCTCTGTATCGGTGGAGTCGGAATCACTCGAGGGAACATCAAAGCGCACGTGGCGCTCCGCAGGACGGTGGTGGTGATCAGAAGCAGCACTTTCGTCAACCTCTGACATGATGCCATCCCAACTGGCGGCATCCTCGATGTCTGCTGCGCCGTCATCTTCGTCTTCTTGCTCCTGCTCATCCTCTTCATCTTCTTCATCGTCGTCGTCGTCATCATCATCGTCATCATCCTCTTCTTCTTGAACAATGGGCGGCCGGGGAGGAATCGGGATGCTGGGGGCTGGTAGCACCTCGTGGAGAATATGTTCCTCCTCGGCCGCATCGACATCTTCCTCGTCGTCGTCAGAAGAATCACTGATATCTTCGACAGCAGAATATCCTCCTTCGTCAGACAGGTCGAAGGACGAAGAAGAGGTGATAGAGTCGCGACGCTTGGCAGCTTTCCTCGAGGCCGAGGAAGCCTTGTTGCGAACGTTGCGCGACATGGTTGGTGGTGGTTAGGCAGGGTTGAAACCCAATATGGTGGTATTCGGAGGGGGTGGGAGTTTGTCTGGATAACCGGCGCTAATAAATGCCGTATGAATGCCCAACAATGTGTATGGCTGTGTATTGCACCTAAGTTTTTCTCTTGGTGAGCCTTGTTTGTAGGTCCAGGGCGACTGTATGTATTATCGTGTCTTATACTTGGGTCGGATAGAGGGAGGGGTCGTGGTAGTCGGATTTAGGTGGAGGTGAAGATATTTTCTTCAAGCGGATAGGCTTCTCGTAGCCCGATGAATAGTGGGCTTGTTGATCGATTCTAGTGAAATGCGATGCAGACTTCCGTCAATGGGCCAGAGCCGTCCTCTCAATGAGGGCTCTGGACAGTGAAAGCCTGTTTGAACTTCGTCGGGAAACAGAATGGATTGAATGTCTCGATGGGCTGCTGGACTGCAGAGGTGCCTGCGCAGGGGCACCTCCGCAGTGGGCGTTTACAGCTCAGCGAAAGCGGCGGACATAATTCTCGACGAAGTGTGTGTTTGGTTCTAGATCCTTTTCAAGGTTGTAGGGCGACTTCGTTGTCTCGTGGGGTTAAATTGGTTTTGATGATTGAGATGGAAGAGAGGAAAAAAAGAGGGAAGAGGAAGAAAGGCACCGGGATTCCGAAAATAATATGGCTCCCCCAGTCGCCCCGTCCTTGGGTGTGGAGCACCCAATCGAACTTTTTTTTTTTTTTTTTTGGTGGGCTGCTACGCTGTACGTAGTATGGATACGTACCTGTGCACTTTGTGCTGCTGCCGTTTGTCGCCCAAACTTTTTTTTCTTTTTTCCTCCGTGCCTCCTTCTCCAAGTTGAAAGTCTCCCGTTTTGGTGGGGTCTCAAGGTGTGGGAATCTGCGGCCCTGCGTGCCTTCCCACTGCTGCCATTGTCTGGTTCGCTAAGAGTGGGTAGCGAGACGGCGCTATCCCGTATCCGGCACGCCGTCACCGCCTTTTCACGGTCTGTTCCCCCCTGGCGCTCCTACAATTGCCCTGCAGGCGCTGGGAATCCGCTGGAGATACGGCGTCATTTAGTGGATAGAATCAGTAAACTGTGGAGGAAAGGACCCTGTGTGGAAAGGCTAGCAACTGCAAGTCAACCGCGCCCCTCTTCGCCTCGAACCTGGTAGGTACCTGAGGTACCTTACGCAGCACGCACAGCACAGCACGCGACCGTGGCAGCAACGTCGACCTCATCAAACGATTTCTGCCCCTCCCTCGACCTGTGTCACCTCACTCTCCCGTCTGTTCCAAGCTCTTCCTCCAGACACTTACTCCGTAATTGATTTTGACCCCTCCATCTGTCGTCACCCGTCAGGCCGGTCCAGATCGAGGGGGATGGGGGACAAGCTGATCCTTCCTCCATTGTGGCAGATCCAAAATCTAATCCTTCCCTCATGACCCGCAGAGCACCTGTTGGGCGTACTGTACATACTGCGTAGGCCTTTCTCACTGTCCAGACATACCAGACTTACCATTTGTCGTAGTCTTGCTGATCCAAACGGTTGACCAGAGCAGAAGAGAGAGGTGGGTGGCCACCATCCATTGTACACCGCAACGCAGCGTTGACGCTTCATCCATGAACAGCGGCAAGTCCAGGTGTCAACTTGGAGCAATCCATAGGCTAACAGTCCAAGATGGGGAGAGGCGCAGCTGCGGCCTCAACCTAAGATTGTGCATTGCGGACCCCACAGAGTCAAGCTCCTAACTCCTGAGTTCTGCCTCTTGAGTCTTGACAAGCACTAAGCAAATTCCTCTCACGCAACCCCACTACTGGCCATATCTGTACTTTGCAGATTCCCATCACCCAATGCATCTGTACAAAGTATCCCTATTAGCTCGGGATATGGCCCGCCGCTTGCCTGCGCAAGCATCCGGCATCCAGCAGGCGTATTAGGTAGGCGGTCTCCTGATTCGCCTCGGCTCGCAAGTTCGTCTGTTCGAGGGGCATCACCGAGGGGAATCGAAGGGCCAACTCATCAGTCTACGCCTCAAGACCAACAACCACTTGAGCACACCGTAACTTCAGTCATCCAGAAGAGTCATTGGACATCAGTTGTTCTGTTCAAGAAACTGTTGAGTCACTTGCTGACTCTTATCTGTGAAACTACAGATCTTGCCAATATAACAAAAGACTCAAAGTCAAGTCACCTTGTTAGGTACGTAGCCTTCGGGGTGGCCATCCAGATCTAGATGTAGTAACCTGCAGATTGGGAATAACCCATAGCACTCCGTAGAAAGAAGACAAAAAAAAAAGGGATTCGAGCTCCGACCTAGGCGGGGCCAAGGCTCCTCGGATGTTCGGTGCTGTCCGTAGTGTGTTTGTAAGTTTTTTCAACCCAATCCAACCACAACCCATCCAAAGGGTCCAATGCTTCACGTCCAAATTTTCAACCAGTCATGCGGGAGGAATTGGGATCTGCCTTGGATGGCACTGATCCGCGCTGTCTGACTTTCTTGTCGTTCATGACTCACTGACGGGAAATGAGGGGTTGACGAGCCGGGTGATGCCTGTGCAGCCCTCAAACATTTTGACTACGAGCCCGAACAAAACTTTGATCGAGGGTCTATTACATGCAAGAACGCATGTAGACCTGGCGTGGAGCTCTGTAAAGGGGGAGGAGAGCTGGCAGAGCTCATGTCATACCTACATAAAACCAGCACCAACGATCTAAAGTTACCAACAACCGCAGCGAGAGAACACTTGGTCTATATTTTGTGCCTTAGGGCCTGACCAGTCAATGATCGCCCCTACGGTGACTACACACTTTAATGGTCTGACTCAAAGTCAGTGGCCGAGGGATAATGCTGCCACATTCAGGAACAAAGACACAGAATTGTCTGACAAGTCGGGCCGCACGTAGAAGTGCCGCTGTTGACAACGGATAGCTTCCAGAGAGCGTGCCTCGCCATAATTACCGACTAAGCCATGTGAGCAAAAGGAGACGTGAAGTTGGACTGGACCTGTGAAATCCCAGCTCGAGGTTCCTCCCACCATCGGTCGGACCCGGCGCCTACATGCGGTAGGTACGTACCTGGAGCCGGGCCCCACTGGGGACTTTGTCTCAGCGGGGAGCACCGTGCAAAAAAAAGTTGGTGGGTGTGAGATCAGATTCTTGTCAGGGGGCCAGGGGACCAGGGGCATTAAAGTGCACGTCCCGATTCCCTTGCTTATCTAATCGAGCGGAACAGCCTCGCTTATCTTATCTCGTTGCCCGGTCATCGCAGTAAACAAGGATTGTGTCTCTTTGTTCCATCAGCATCATTCGCGGCCCAGACGACCCGACCCAGCTTTAGATATTCAACCTCGACGAAGAGCATCAATCATAGGACAACCGCGTGTCCTCGAGCAGAAACATAGCCGAACTTCTCAATTTCACGCAAGAGGGACTTCAACAGACGAGCAAAAGATGGATTCCTCAAAGTCGTCCGCAAGCCTCTTCCAGGTGTATTTGCGCTTGAGACCGCCTCCAGCTGGCGCAGCTTCTTCCGACAGATTCGTCGATGTTGAAGAGTCTGGCGAGGGCTCGCACCCGACCCATATCACCCTCAACCCTCCCAACGACCGCAAGCGATCAATAGAAAAGTTTGCCTTCACCAGAGTCTTCGAGGAAGAGGCCACTCAGCTTGATGTTTTCCATTGCACAGGAGTCGCATCACTTGTTGAGGGTGTCCTAGCCCCTCATGGCGGCCATGGTACCGATGCTTTGATAGCTACCCTGGGCGTCACTGGATCTGGAAAGGTAGTCTCGAGCTGTATACGGTATGCCATCTTGGCCTACTTTTGCTAACAAATCATGTAGTCACACACCATTCTTGGCTCGCGTTCAACAAGAGGCATGACACAACTCGCGCTCGACGTCGTCTTTAGATCAATTGGTTCCAACATGTACGATTCACCGACTTTGGAGAGCTCTCTCCAATCCTCAGATGCCTCGGATGCTACCATCATATCGGCACCGTGTTTCCTCGAGACTGTCTTTGCAGACTTTGGCTCATCCCGCGGAGGAGGATCAAGAGCGGGAACACCGATGCTTGTAGGACCCCCCGTTCATTCCGTCAAACTTCCCTTTGAATCTTTCGGATACAATCAGAGGCACAAGCGAACCCAGCCGCCGGTCGAGTTGACAGGCGTGCGCCTCGTGCCGTCAACACCAGACCATCCACGGCGCAAGCTTCGTGGTGGCTTTTCCACGCCAGTGCGGGAAAACTTCCATATTCACGAAGACGTCGCTGAGAAGCACTTCATGGCCGTGACTACAGCGTCCAAAGTAAAGAACACAGCTAAACAACTAGTAAAGGGCGAACACTGTCCTCCTCCTACCCCTCGACGCGCACTCCAACGACCCTCAGCTCTTCCCTCAGCTCCCGATATCAGCTCCGTCAACGTGTCTTCAGACCCCGATTCAGACTATGCTGTCGTTTTGTCCATGTACGAGGTCTACAACGACAAGATTTACGATCTCTTAACCCCGCCTATCAAGTCCAACGCTACGAAAGAGTACCGGCGTCGGCCATTGCTCTTCAAATCAACCGAGCAGTCTTCCGACAGGAAAGTTGTGGCTGGACTGAAGAAGATTGCGTGCACTACCATGAGAGAAGCTATCATGGTATTGGAGGCTGGTTTGCATGAGCGCCAGGTTGCTGGAACTGGCAGCAACAGTGTCTCCTCCCGCAGCCACGGATTCTTTTGTGTTGAGGTGAAGAAAAGATCCAGGGCAGGACGCTACCGATCTTGGACCGGCAACACTCTGACCATTGTTGACTTGGCTGGCTCTGAGCGTGCCCGGGATGCCAAGACGCAAGGCGCCACTCTCGCGGAAGCCGGAAAGATCAACGAGAGTCTAATGTATCTCGGCCAGTGTCTTCAAGCACAGAGCGGCATGGGCAACAGCAGCAAGGTATGTCAAGTCGGATGCAACCCATCGACTAGCAACAATCTAACGTGAAACGACATAGCCTACTGTCATGCCATTCCGGCAATGCAAGATGACTGAGCTTCTATTCTCTAACTCTTTCTCGGCGTCGTCTTCATCATCTGCGGGTGTTGTGCCTCGTCGGAATGCCCAGCGAGGCATTATGATCGTCACTGCCGATGCACACGGCGATGCAAATGCGACTTCCCAAATTCTCAGATATAGCGCCCTTGCGAGGGAAGTAACGATCCCTCGAATTCCCAGCATTACATCGACTATTCTGGCCGACACACCCTCTTCAGCCCACCCGCCGTCAGGTATGAGATCCCCTGATCTGCCTCCACAGCGCCGAGGATACTTTGGCCATGGATCGTCTGGCCATCGCAACTTTTCTCCAAATTCCGATAACGGAGACAGAGTGCTCATGGAGCACGCGGCGCTGGAAATTGCTCGTATGCAAGAGGAGATAACCAACCTCCACGTCGAGTTGGACAACGAACGTGAGATGAGAGTTACTGCTGAAGCACATCTTCTCAGCATGGAAGACAGGCTGCTGGAGCTGGAGCAGACGGTTCGTGAGGATTGCATGGCCGAGTTCGACGCTCGCTTCGAGTTGGAGCTGGCCCGCTGGAAAGCAACTCTTGCTGCAGAGCAAGAGAAGGGCGAGGAGCACTGGGATCGCAAGATGGAGCTTTTCGAAAAGGGGCTTGGCCTAACTATTGATGACGAGGCCGGCGAGGACAAAGAAAACTTACTTGTCGAGGACCTTGAAGACGAGAACGAAAGACTTCGACGTGAGAACGAGATCCTGAAGCGGGAGCTCGCGCAAAGAAGCCCGAGCAAGCGGAAGCCGCTTCAAGAACGCGAAGACTTTGGCGGCCGCAAAGGCGGCGCCACAGGTGTGAGCAACCTGGGCCGCAAGATGGAGCAACTGCGCGTTAGCAATGAGAGTACCGGCGGCAGCTCGGGGAGCCCCAAGAAGATGCGGAAGCTTGCGACGAAGCGATGGGAGACGGTTGCCGACGATGAGTTCTGATTAACTGCTTTGTACAAAGTCTATGGGGAGTTGTCTGCGCCGGAGGTTGCGCTTGTTTCTCGGCATATACCCATGTTGGACCATTCATTCGTTTCCTGTCGGGATTGACGGTGTTTTCGGGATAGGAGTTTGATGTTGCAATGAGTCTGAAGGATAGACAACTGTTTTACTACACTACTTAATTCACTTATCCTTAAAAGGTCTGGCCAGCCGTCCTCTTCAGAAACTCCACCTGCCGCCGCTAGCAGAGACGACATGATGTGAGATCCTTATGACAGGAAATCACGTTTAAATCACTTTCAACCCCCATTTGACCACAACGACATGCTTGTGTTGAATAAGAAAGGGAAGGCATCTTCAACGTTGTGCCAAATCAAGCTTTGCTGATCTTCAACAGTGATGAAAGCTGTCTCACGATATCAGAAACAATGAAAACACCGGAAACTCCAAAAAAAGATAGGTATCAAATTCTTAGCCCTCCTCAGCATCCATGTCGTCGTGACGCCTCTTGTTGCCCTTACCCTTCTTACCACCCTTCAGAGTTGAGCCCTTCTTGCCCTGGGTCTCCATCAAATTCTTCATCTCCATTCTAGCATGTCTTTGCGCCTCTTCAACACGGCTCTGGAACACCATGACCTCGTCCTTTTGCGTGGGGTACTCGGTCAGCTTCTTGCCGAGGGCAGCCTCGATTCGCAGGTAGATTTCGAGGTCGTATTGCGTGACGAGACTGATGGCAATGCCTGACTTTCCGGCACGGGCGGTACGACCGATTCGATGGATCCTGACAATGATTAGCCACGGTTGATTGCTTGGATGCGTGTATGACATACATGGTCTTGCTGTCCTGCGGCAAGTCGTGATTTATGACAACGTCAACGAGCGGAATATCAAGACCTCTGGCGGCGACGTCCTGATACAAGTCAGCTTTGCTAAAGAACAATGGCGTGATATACGCTATGGACTTACCGTAGCCACGAGGATTTGACGAGTTCCTTCACGGAAACGAGAAAGCGCACCAAGACGGGCAGTCTGGTTGAGCTGCCCGTGCAGAGGGATGGCGGAGAATCCTAACGCGCGTAGCAAAATCGACAACCGCTGCACCTCCGCAACAGTGCGAGCGAAAATGATGATGCGCTTGCCGGCGAACTCATTACCAAGGTAGATCAGGTAGGTATCCTTCTGTGTGTGAGGAACAAAACAGTAGTGCTGAATCAATCCCTTGACCGTCTGGTATTTGTTGGAGCTGATGCTGACGCGGACGGGGTCTCTCAGACTGGCCCGGGACAGACTCTCAATCTTTGTGCTCATCGTAGCAGAGAAGAGGAAGGTTCGGCGTTCGCGGGGGAGAAATTTGAGGAGAGAGGTGATGGCCGGGCCGAAATCCATGTCGAGCAGTCTGTCGGCTTCATCCATCACCAGGTACTTCAGCGAGCGCAATGAGAAGCCCTTGGTCTTCTCGAGGTGATCAACTAGACGTCCGGGTGTAGCGACGAGGATGTGGGGGCGCTTGCCGAGAGCAATGGCCTGAGAGACCTGTTGTTCGAGCTGTTAGCACTTTCTGCGGCGAGAGAAGCTACGAGGGGGTTGACTCAACGAAGTCAAGACCGCCGACAATTACGGCGCATCGTAAGTTGATCAGGCTACCAAGTGCCTCGAACTGTGCACCAATCTGTGCCGCCAACTCTCTGGTGGGTGCGAGAACAAGTCCGAAGAATGGTTGAGGTTTCTCCAAGAGTGCTTGAATAACGGGGAGGGCGAACTGTGAATGATAGTTAGCGGCCGCATTGGGTAGCATTGCATTCCGTACGACTGTCACGGGTAGAGGGAAACGGTAGGGGATTGGTGAAAATTGATGACCATCGGCTTTTCACATTGCAATCCCACAAGAATCTTGGACACTTGTCCAAGCCTGCACATTCGTCTCGACCCTATTTGGGACTCTCATGGTATGGTTTCGAGTGGGCTGAAGATGTGTATGGAAGCCAGGAAAGAGTCTACTGACAGCCGCCGTTTTTCCTGAACCTGTCTCGGCCAGACCAATGATATCGCGATTCGCAAGGGCGTGAGGGATTGACTGAGCCTGAATAGGCGTGGGCTTCTTGTACCCGAGAGATTCGCATGCTTCGCACAGAGACTCGACGACACCCTGGAACATTGACATTAGAGACCATCACGGATCAAAGGAGGGGTCTTGGTTGCAATTTACCAGCTCCTTGAAGCTCTTAGTTACTTCCTCAGTGGCATCGGCAGTAACATCAGCATTGATCTCGACATCGGAATCAGCATCGGCCGCGACATTGTCTTCAGGTTCAGATTCGGACTCTGATTCGGTTGGTGGGGATGGAGAAGCTTCCGCCTCGACTCTGCGAGACACCTTGGAAGACGAGCCCTTTTGCGCCACCTTTTGTCGCTTGGAGGAAGGCATGCTCGCCTTCGATGACGACTTCTTTGTCGTCGAGGAAGGCATCTTGGTCGTGAACAGCTCGCTGTGCGGTGTGGCGCAAAGAGGAAAAGCGGTTGTCGAAGGCTTCGGTCCAAAAGTTTTAGCAGTGGGCGCGACCTGATGACATCCCGCACTCTGGGAAAGTTTTTAGTGGGGACCTGGGTGTTATCAGCACGTGAAGGCTGTTTTTTTTGGTTCTTATCGACCTGGCCCCGCCAAAAAATTTCCTGCAGACGACCAAAGCATCCAGGTCTCGTCCTAGGCCCAGATACTTTTCGAGTTGCGGATTCTGGATCCTCGACAACTTATCGACGTCAAGGTTTTCCTATCCCAAGTCAATCACCACCCCGAACCCTCAAAAATATGGCGCGCAAGAGAGTCAAGAAGAGGACGCATCTCGGTGCCAGCAACCCTGTCACCGCCGGCGAGAACAATGGCGCAAAGGATCCCAAGAGCATGGTCATCCGCATCGGCGCTGGTGAGGTTGGCTCCAGTGTGAGCCAACTTGCTGCCGATTTCCGAAAGGTCATGGAGCCGGGGACTGCCAGTCGAATGAAAGAGAGAAGAGCAAACCGATTGAAGGACTACGTTGTGATGACCGGCCCTCTCGGCGTCACTCACCTGATGCTCTTCTCGCGATCAGAGAGCGGCAATACCAACTTGCGCGTGGCACTCACACCTCGAGGCCCAACACTGAACTTCCGAGTCGAAAAATACTCTCTATGCAAGGACGTACAGAAGTCCCAGAGACGTCCCAAGGGCAGTGGAAAAGAGCAGATTGCTCCGCCACTGGTACGACAACAATTGCCCTATCCGTTTGAATCCTTGCTAAACAACCTCAGCTCGTCATGAACAACTTCCATACCCCCGATGCCGACGCAACATCCAAGGTGCCCAAACATCTCGAGTCATTGGTGACCTCCGTTTGGTCCAGTGTCTTCCCTCCGCTGAACCCGAATGCGACGCCCCTGAGCAAGATCAAGCGCACATTACTGCTTAACCGCGAAAAGGATCCGGAGAACGAGGGATCCTTCATCATTAATATGCGACACTATGCCATTACCACACGGTCAACAGGGATTTCAAGGCCACTCCGAAGACTCGAAAAGGCAGAGAAGCTGTTGGCTTCAAAGACAAACGGAAAGGGGGGTGTGCCGAATCTGGGAAAGCTGGAAGATATCGCCGACTTTCTTCAGGGCGGAGAGAACGGGGACGGGTATCTTACCGATGCAACCAGCGGAAGTGAGCTCGACAGTGATGCCGAGGTCGAGGTCAAGGAACAGAAGGCTCAGAAGATCAGGAAGAGCGCTGCCCCGGTCGACGACGATATGGCCGATGAGGATGATGCCGTTGAAAAGCGTGCCGTCAAGCTCGTCGAGTTGGGTCCTCGTATGCGCCTGCGTCTGACTAAGGTTGAGGAAGGCCTGTGCTCTGGAAAGGTCATGTGGCACGAGTATGTCCACAAGTCCAAGGAAGAGGTAAAGGAGTTGGAGAAGCGCTGGGAGCAGAGACAGAAGGAGAAGGAGGCCAGGCGGAAACAACAAAAGGAGAACGTCGAAAAGAAGCGAAAAGCCAATGCCGGGAAGGGCAAGGGGGCCGATGAGAGTGACGTGGACATGGACTATGACGACGAATTTGACAGCGAAGGTCTGGCTGGCGATGCCGAATACCAGGTCAATGAGGCCATGGAGGATACGGGCGAGTGGGAGGACGAGGAAGACGAAATTACCAAGGGCTGAAAACTGCGATGTGCGTGGTCTCTTGGCCCTCATAAAAATAATACCAAAGCGGGACAATTTTGATCACTGTTTGAAGTATGCAAGCCAATCCTCGTGACATTAACACAGCTATTCAGCCCCTCTTTCCGTGTCCGAGGAGAAATAATTTGGAGTTGTTTCGCCGCGTGAAAGAAGGGGCTGACGGACGCTTGATTGATCAGCTCTAAGCCTAGAAGTCTGGCCGAAGGTATGGCATCTAGACCAGTCACGAAGGACATCAATGCCAACAGCAGCGGGAATGCCGTGGTATGTGAGCATCACCACCTGAGGAACTCGTCGTCCTGGCTGTGATGTTTCTTCACTGGTGACGATGCTTGTTCAGGAATAAGGATTGGTGACAGAGAAAACAGTGTCGAAGATTCATGGACCAGCTACATACCTCCATCTGGTCCACCGAAAGCGTACATAGCATTAGTGATTCCTAACATCCAGGCAATTCCTGATCACCAGCCGCTAGACCCAACTCCTAACTGTTTGATGAAGGATGCAGGCACAGTATGCTTATGAATGCCAGTGGTAACGAATAGAACGATGAAGAGACCAATTAAGGAGGAATAGAGCAATATTTGAAAGATCAAGGTTACCCTCTTAGATGTAAAGACCACCAGAAGCGCTTGAAGTCGTTGTTCAGAACCACAGGCACGATAAAGGCTCCAACGGCTGAGGAAGAAATGCCGTAATTGTTACAACAGTTGCTGCTCCAAAATAGATCAGATAGATCTGCCACTGAATTCCTCCGAAAGCCGGATGCTAGAAACGAATCATTCCTGAGAGAGTTGCCGCGAACAAAGATGTCCTAGAGCATCTGCAGCATCTATTCAGCTTCATCGGGTTCACATGCCACGGACGTGACAATCCACTAGGCCAAAGTTGATATCCACCCGACCAAGAATCCCGTGGATCGTCTCGTGTTGGCAGGTGCCATGATGTTGCAAAAGTGATATTGACCACCACTTGACTATTACCGTAAGATCAATGATGAGTCTTAAGTATTATGCGCTGAAGTGCTTTGGGAGCATGAAATATCGTAGTCAACTTACGGGAAAGGCTGAAGCAATTTGAACCAGACCAAGGGTAATGATGGACTGGGCCACGAAAGCAGCTAAGAGGCCGAACAAGCAAGATCGCGGCCCCCTTGAACCAGATTTTGTCCGAAGTTGCTGTTTCATAGCAGTCAGCTGATCGTAGTCCCATCCATGATGTTCGATAACGTACAAGGTATCCAACCTATGAGTCGGTGATAGAGAAACCGGGATTCAGAGCTGACATCCAGCTGGACTGGTGCGGCATGGCCGTGCTATGGCCATTAGCCCTCAGAATGGTATCGTCTAGATCGACTGGGTTGCCGCGTGTACCGTTAGAGATGCTATCTTGATCATGTAATTTCGAGGGAAGGAGGGCAGGGTTTGTATTTGTCGCTGGTCTATCCAGGCCTTTCCCTGGACTGACAAATGTCTCGCGATCGTCAATAGCCATCTTGCTATGGTTCACGAGTCACAATGTTCCGACTGATTCTCTCTCAAATGATCCCTTGTAGCAGGAGGCTGTAGGATATATCAGAAACTTTTGGCACGACACTTTAGTACTGCTCGCTGGATATACGAGCCTGTTTTCTATACTTCCGATCAAATCTACGAAATAGCATATTCATTGATGTTGCAATGAATCAAACGCATTCCACCTATCTTGATTCAGCTGCATCCCTTATCTAAGTTGCAGGGATAGACGCGTTGGCGCTCCTTGGAAAGATGAGGCGGCGTAGTATCGAGAGAACTGGCGAGGAGCCCAGGCTCGCGCTATCTTCAGGCAGCTTGTCACCCAACACGTTGGCCTAGCACCCGCGACGAGGCCTATCCCCGGAGTCGCAATCTCCAGTAGGGTAATACTTACTAGCTCAATGTAAGGTAGCTTACATATACTGCAACATTGCATTAAGCGCCTCATCTGTGGACTTGGCCATACCGAAACGGTTAGTGGACATGTTTGATGTGCCGCTTTGGGTTCTTGCACTGTTGTCATGTGAAAACAGAGTCACCACATTGACATAGTCTCGATGACAATAGGTGTAGGTTGAAGGTTGGTGTTTTTGTGTTTCTCTACTTCCTCGAACCGTGCGGAGCTAGACTGCAGTTGTTGGTTGCATACAGGGTGCTGCATGCCCTGAAAGGCGCATACTCATGGCTGGTCTTGTTGACCCCACCCATCTCACATGAGTGCGTTCTTGTTCCTTTTTAGGCAGTATCTTCCACTCCTCTGAACGTGAGGATAAACTTCGGCCGCCAGCTTACCACTACTGTGCGGAGTGGCAAGCATAGCCCTGTTACAACTTCACGACTACGGATACTGCTTCCACATCGTGCTGAAGGTGCGTTGTACATGAGACCTTGTACACTAGATCGTCGTAGTTTATAAACCATTTTCTCTTTGCAAAGCCCCCACAGCCCTGAGCACGCGACAATTAAGCTCGGTATCTTGTTGCTTTTCGCCATACCTCTTGTTTCACGGACATTGAAATCAAATCGTGTCCTCATCCACAATGCCCGATATGAGTGCTAAATACGGTCCTGAGGTCCAGAAGGTCTCCGCAGACACACCATTAGACGACATCATCTACCTCCTCAAGCGTGACGGGGGCGTCTTCGTTAGAGATCTGGTCTCTGTCGCTGATGTCGACAAAGCTCACGAAGAATGCCGCGAACGCCTCGAGAATGATGTGGAATGGAATGGCTCGTTCTTTCCAAGTAAGTGTCTACAGTCTCAACGTCAACTACAAATATTACATGGCCTGGTATGTTTGTGCTGATGCACGATCATCAGAGGAGACTCAGCGGGCACCAGCCTTGTTGGCTCTCAGCCCTACGTATGCCAAAACGCAAGTCATGAACCCAGTCTACCAAAAGGTGTGTGAGCACTTCTTGACCACCCGAAGTTGGTTCTGGTGGGGAAACGAGAAGAAGGAATCTGTGTCGAAGCCATATGTTCACTCATGTACTGCTATGAGCATTGGGCCTGGGGGCAAGGCTCAGCCCTTGCACCGAGACGACTACATCAGTCACAACTATCATCAGGAGGTGAGTGAATGGGACGATGAGCGAGATAAGAGCCGGGAGACCGCTGTTGGGCTCTTCGTGGCTGGCTGTAAAGTCACAAAGGAGAACGGTGGAACACAATTCATTCCCCGGAGCCATCTATGGTAAGTAATGCCCCTTATCCTTGCGAGCGCTAGGGCGCTATGAGTCGACGCGTTCTCGATCGAATGAGCCTCCGACCTAGAAAGAAAGATGAACTGATACCATGATATTGAAGGGGTACTGATAGACACATGCCACCTCGAGTAGAGGAGTGCATCTACGCCGAGATGGAGAAGGGCGATGCCTTCATCATGCTGGCATCCGCGTACCATGCCGGCGGCCACAACACAACAAAGGATCAGAGACGACTGATGTTTGCAACATTCTCAATTCGAGGCTATCTTCGACAGGAAGAGAACCAATTCTTGTCTGTGCCTCAAGATGTTGCAAAGAAGTTGGATCAACCTATCCAGGAGTTTATGGGATACTCAATGAGTGATCCGGCCTGTGGGTACGTTGATCAGATGGACCCAATCTTTGTGCTCCGTCCCGAATTGAAGGGCGATGGGCGCCCTTCCGACTTTTGATTGGGAGAGAGATCGAAATTAGTTTGAATTGTATGGGAATTGGAAGCCTTACTTCAACTTCTCGGCTTGAGGCCGTCGAGGATGGCACTTTGCTGCTGAGGCATATACCTACCTTATAGCTTGAGAAAATCAATCATCGAGTATCAAGAGTCGGCACGAATTATCTGGGGAACAATGAAATTTACACCGTCGCCATTTCTCACATGTGGAAGCACTAGACTAGATTATTGGGCACTCTAGTCTGCTGTAATCTTTTACAAGATGCCCTGGAAGTTATTCACCAAATGGTGTCGGCCATAAGCATCGTGCTAAAGGCTTCACTAGACTAGCAACGATTATCGCGGCAACTCCACGTAAATCGGTATTATCATATTGAGTGGCAAAGCCTTTGGCAAGTCTTTCTAAAGTTCCCCGAAACCAAAATCAAATGAAAGAAAGCTCATGATGATCATAGTTCGACCGAACTTGTAATGCCTCATATCATGTGGGTGCTAGTATGAGGCGGCCGGGGAAAACACGTTGTCTAAATGGTGGCTGTCGGCGCGGAATTCAGATGCCTTTGTCATGACTCCACCACCACTTTAGCGGATGCTGCTTACCTGCAGGCTGCACACCTGTATCCGCACTACGTACCGCTCCTCTCTAAGGTAAGGTAGGTAGGCGTGGTAGGTTAACGGCTGTACGGAATACATGGATTGCCCAAGCGTCCAATCCTGAACAACCAACATGAACCCCAACATCGGGCGAGACTCTCTAGTCCGCCCGGCCTTTCTTCCCCTTGCTCCCAACATTTAGTCGGATAGTTGCGTACAAATTTGGTGATCATACCTCACGACAAGATCTACGAGATACGGATGCGGAATGCGTGCCAACATTGCCATGGCCAGGGGCTCGAAAGCCGTCAGAAAAGGTCTGCTTGGTTCTCCCCCCTCTTGCTCTGAATCTTGTACCAGAAACTGCACTAGATGGCACTCAGTCCCTGCCTGGGCCTTGTTGAGCCAGATTGGGAACAAGTTTCAGCAGCGAGCCATTCTGTCGCTCACGATTTCTGAGCGTGCGATTTACTACCCGATTATGCCTCAGCTCCCGCTCAGATTTCATCGCTAACCATCAACAGATCCAGCGTGCGGAACCTGTAGAAAGAAGTGCCGCAAGTGTGACCGCGCGCGCCCTGTCTGCAATCGATGCAAGTCAAAGGGCTTGCATTGTGAGGGCTATCCTCCTCGATTCCAGTTCTGTGAATCATTACAGACGCCCAATTTGATAACAGCTGGCGATGAGCGGGACCCAGAAGAGGAGCAACAGCGCGTTCAGCCTGACGTCCTACCCACCAACGAGCTTACTCCGGCCCAAAACCTGAGCTCATCAACGTCGACCCCAAATTCACTTTCTTCAGATCACCCAAGCCAAAGTCGTCGCATCCTCCAGACTTTGTCACAAGGCGCTTCTCCAGCCTCGCCCCAAGACAGATCTCTTGGCGCACCGTCACCGGCTACAATCACCGGGCACCCTGTCGACGATCTACTTCTCACGAGTAACAGCCAGAAATTGCTTGTTTACTGTAAGTTGCTCATTACCCACCTCCGAACCTTCCATCTCCCATTTTCTCTTAGCCAGTGTGACATCATCGTTTCTGACAACCAGTTGTAGTTGACAGAGAGCTGAGCCAACACCTAACAATTGTCGTTGAAGGCGCGGATAACCCGTTTCGCGTACATGTACTTCCACTGGCCTACAATCACACAGGTGTGCTCCATGCAGTCCTGGGACTTACCGCGTGCCATCTGCACCTATCACCATCAGGTGCTAAACAGGTTGACATGGCCACTGCCTTACAACACCGTGTTGCTGCATTGAACGGGCTAAGCTCCCTTTTAATCAAGGAAGAAATCTACGGACTTACAGAAGCTGAAGAAGAGGCTGCACTAGCAATAATCTTCCTGTTGGTACTTCATGATGTGAGCTCCATGATACTTTTCAAGTTCTTCCACAGCAAGAATCACCTTGGCTAAGCAATCATATGCATCATGTCTAGATATGCGAGTTGGGAATATCTGCTCATGCCGTTCATCTGAATGGCGTGTCATTCCTTTGTGGAAGAATTGCATCCCCTTTAGGGAGGGCTGAGCGGTCTGCAGCAACCATATTCTTTTTGTCTGCGTTATCATGGTAAGTCTAATACTCGTGTCCGATCTCAAAACTCTCCGGTAACAAATATGTTGATCAGGTTGGATGTCTTAAGAGGATTCAGTGGTGCCGAAAAGCTCACCTACTCGGAGAACGTCCGGAAATGTGTTGCAAACATCACCAGTCCACACGCAGCCCTGCACACCTTGGTCGGCTGTCCCGCAGTAATATTCCTCAGGATCGGGGACGTAATAGCAACAGCCAAGCAGAATATGCAGGGGATATTATCTACCGTCGACTTTCAGACCAAGTTAGACGAGGCAGAGAGCTTTCTTCGTAGCCTCGATCTAGACACGATCGAATATCCCACACCACATCAGGAGTGGAGACAGCTTGCGGAGGCGTTTCGACATGCTAGTCTGCTGAGGATCTTACGATGGCCTGATACGTTCGCCATTCCCTGCGAAGATCCGAGGATCAGATCATCGGTATTAGCAATCTTGGATTGCTGTGCCAACGTGTCAATGGATTCCTCATTCTTTAAACGGCTGTTATTCCCTCTTTTTCTGGCGGCAACCGAGACATCTGAACGACATCAGATACACTATGCTAGCCTTTGTATTGAAAATATTCGACGCTCCACAGGATTACAACATGCAGCCATGATGGAAGTCCTTGAGGGGGTTTGGGAGGAAAGAAGACTGAAAACCCGGGGCTGGACGAATGTTCCCTGGATGGAATTTGTGAGTAAAGACCTGAAAAGTCGCTTGGTTCAACATTCATACTCATGAGAATACAGACCTGTTCTGAAAGTATGCAGCAGCAACACGCTTATCTTTTCTTCTAGACAAACCTGCAGAGTTATGAAAAAATGACTTGCCAACTAATATACCACAAAATGGGAATTCCGGAAGATGCAATGAAGCAAATAACTCCCAGCCTCGGAACGGCAGTCTTCGGAAGTCCGCCTTGCAAACCTATCTAAAAGAATAACATGGTTAACGGAGATGCCTGGGTTCCGCCACCTTGAAGTATGTCCGCGGTATGTCGTGTGACCTTCGATAGAGATATTCGATAGAACTCGTTCGAACTGCTCAGTGCGAGACTCGAAAGCATGTTGTCAATGATTCAAACTACATCGACATGGCCGAGATCTGGGCAATGACCGCCAAGTTTGATAGTGAGAAGATGTTAAAGAGAGGCTTTGAACATAGTAGAAAGTGTCATTTGATTATTGTAATTGAGCCCTCTCAACTGTGATAGTTATGTACACCCGCTCAGACACGGGCTCGCATGGGCTAGACGGAAGCGACGCAGGGGCTGGATACAGTTACAGGCGTATCAGCGTGTCTGGAAAGGCCAAGCCATCATCCAACAGTTGAAACGATGCGTTGTTTGGTATTGGACTTCTTGCAAGATTACAATGATTTCCAACTCATCGTTGATTGACACATCTGGCGTTGATAGTGTACTTGTGATCTAGTTATACAAACCCCCATTTGCACAAAGAACGGACCCAGTAGTCCACCGAGCGTCGCTGCTACAGAGGAATGCCACGAGAGGTGCGACGTCATCCACTTCTCCGATCCTCGCCGCAGCGGGTGTAGACTCAATCAGGGGCTCCATGTCTTTCCTAAATTGGTCATCGCTTTCGTTCCACTGGTCTACGTCGTAGGTCATGTCAGTCTTTCTGCGAAGCGCGTGTTGGATGTGAGAGGCCTACCAGTAGCCACCGGGCCGGGGTTGACGCAGTTGACAGTAATGCCATGCTCTTGGCCGAGCTCTTTGGCCCACACACGTGCAAGTGCCTCGTTGGCCGCTTTTGTGGCAGCGTATACGGTTTGTCCAGCGACTCCAAGACGAGCAGCTGCAGAAGAAACAAAAACTATTCGACCACCTCGGGCAATATGCGGCACGACAGCTTTAGTCAGAAAAATTGGTCCCTTGACATTAGTGTCAAAGTGGGTGAGGTACAAGTCCTCGGTGACTTCATCAAGGTTGGCGTCAACACCCAAGGCCGCGCTGAGAAGCAGAGTAAACGTGTCAGAATCAATCACATAGTGGCCAACATCAAGCCAAAGAAACTGAGAACAGAAACTGACTTATGAACCAAAATTTCGATTTTGCCAGTTCCGCTAAACTTCAGCGTGGTGTCAACGAGTTTGGAAATCCCAGATAGTTTCCCGATATCTGCCTGAATCGCAATGGCATTCGATCCTTGCTGTTGGATGTCCTTGACGATGTCTTCAGCTCGCTGGCGACTGCTGTCTGTCACGAAGTTGACGACGACATTGGCTCCTCGCCTCCCAAGTTGTTTCGCAATGGCGGCGCCAATTCCCCTGTGGAATGAAGAACATCAGCTATAGTCTGACCCACGAGCCAAAAGACTGGCCAAGAAGGCCGATTTCTCACCGTGAAGCGCCGGTGACAATGGCTGTCTTACCGGTAAGATCGACGCCTCTGAAGTCAGACATGGTGGGATGAAGTTATTGAAATTGTGCTGGGTTGGTGTTCACGTACAAAGCTTCTGAATATCTCTAGCGAAGCAAAAATCTGGGAATATATGGCATATATCTCTCCCAAAGATCTGGTCTTGTTAGATTAGTCGCGGTTGCCGCAAGATGTAAGATCGGCAATAGTGTCCATGTTGGGCTACCCCGCGTTGCGCTGTATTCCTTCGCAGTGCTGACGTGGGTCCTTGCTGAAGGGACCGGCTGGATGTCTTTCCGGTTCAAGCCAGGAGATACGCTTGGTTTGCCAGGTGCTGCGCGTGTCCTAATACCATTGTTCCAGAGTAATCGGGTCTGAGATTGCAGTTATGTTTGTTTGGTAGTTAGGATCGTTCTCACCCCGCGTGAAGACGATAGGTTGCC